GCTCTTCTGGCTGCCTCGACCATAGGCACATCGTGCTGTTGTAGAGTTTCTCTGATGTTATCCTTCAATTTTGTTCTTGGTCTACCCTGTGCTCTACGTCCTTCTTCTCTTTCCATGTATGCTTTGTATGGTATGGTGTCACACGGCATTTTCTCTAAGTGGGCAAACCATTTCACTTGCTGTCTTTGTATCTAATCCAGAATTGGTTCTGTGCCGACTTGTTCTCTTATGATCTCATTCCTGATTTTTATCTCTTATGGTCACTCCTACAGCCCTTCTCAGACATCTCATTTCCGTGGTTACTAATTTTCTTTTATGGTTTGTTGTGAGTGACCATGTCTGGCACTGGTAGCACAGAGTTGGAATAAATATGCTTTGAATAAGATGTCTCTTTGTGCTGATTGGGATTGTCTTATGCTGTAAGAGGGGAGCTAGCTGTCCCAATACTTGGTTTGCTTTACTGCATCTAATGTCAATTTCTTTATCCAATTTTCCATCTTCGGTAAATGTAGTTCCCAGATATTTAAACTCAGATGCCTGTTTTATACCTTTGCATTCTATTGCTATGTTTAGATCTGTCTTCTTTTTTCCTATTGACATTACTTCTGTCTTCTCAGTGTTGATTCTCATATTATTTGTTTTACATTCTTCATTCAGTGATGTTAAATGTTGTTGCGATTTCATGGCTGTATCTGCTATTAAGGCCTGGTCATCTGCAAAGAGTAATTAGTTGATCTTACTAAGATCTTCATTCATGGGCTTGGCATTCTTGCATATACTGTCGATGTAGGTGATAAACAGCAGTGGTGATAAGACACACCCCTGTCTTACTCCAGATGACACTGTGAAAGGATGAGATGTTCCCTGATTTATTCTAACTACACTTCTACAATCCCTGTATAAACTTTTGCACACTTCAATGAGGTGTTCGCTTACTCCATATCTTGCCATTATTTTCCATAATAATTGTCTGTCGACTCTTGTCAAATGCCTTCTCCTGGTCTACATACCGCCACAAATAAGTTCTTATTGTATTCAATGTTCTTTTCTATTAACTGTTTAAGTGTGAAGATTGCATCTGTGCAGCTTCTATTTCTCCTAAATCCCATCTGTTCTTCTGCCAGCTGTGGTTCTATCACTGGTCTCAGTCTTGTTTCTATTATCTTGGCATACATTTTGCCAACATGGCTTAAAAGAGAGATGCCTCGATATTGACCGCATTCTCGTTTGCTTCCTTTGTTCTTCCACAATGGTATAACTATTGCATGTTGCCAATAAATAGGGACCGTTTGTTGTACCCATGCTGCACTGAATATTCTGTGAAGCCATCTGATGCTGCTCTCACCTGCTGCTTGAATTATTTCTGTTGGTAATCTATCAGCTCCTGGTGCTTTATAAATATATATTCCATTCTTCCTCAATATTGCCAACTACATGTGGAAGTTGTTTGAATGCTGTCTCTGCTTTCTGTTGTAACTGTTCTTTTAACTCCTTCCTGTATCAGATTTGCTATCTTGATGAGATCCTTGTTTTTGTTTAATTTCTTTTTGTGTTTCTTTAATGTAAGATGTTTTGCTGTTAACACAACTATTTTATGGTCAGTGTCACATAGACCATTAGGGATTGCTCTTGAATCAAGAATTCTCCTTCTTCCTTGAACTCTGGACAAACTACTGGACGTAAATTTGCCTAGAAAAACCACACAACAGCCAGGGGCTGTTGGGGTTGGTTCTGCAACGTCCTGTAAAGGATACGCAATTAACCTAACCTAAGAAATAGGATGAAACTTGACCTCTTAAATGCTCTCTTGACAATAAAATTCGGACTGATGAAAGAATGGAAATGCTGTTCAACTTATCAGCTCCCTGATTGTGTATTAAAAGACATTGGAACAGCTAAAGCCTACCAGTCATTTTGGATCTGAAGCTTCAACTCCATCATCCGAGCTAAGTTTATCCTCAGGATCTTGTGAGGCAGACATCAGTAAAGATAAGGACATGATTCTATAGGGTAAGTCATATCAATAGCTATGTAATTTGTAACTCTTTACATTTGGATGTTTTTTTCTAGATTTTTCCCCACACAAATTAAGATATTGTTTAGATATTTTTTGACTCAGTTCTGGATGTTTTTTTGTCGAAGAAAGTGGCAACACTGGTAGAGTTATCTCCCCAATCCGGCGGTCTTCTGTGTTCCCCCCTACACGTGAGTTTGTGTGTGTATACAGTCATGTTGACAGAAGCATTTGCCACAATTTCTTGTTAATATACCGTCAGTTCTACATTTTCTAGGAGCTAGATTTCATTGTCCAGCAAAAGAGCTACGTCGCGATTTTAGTAAGTGTCATATTCATTATTGAAAGATTTAGATTAGACGGCGACTACAGTAGGAGGCACTCAAGATTTGATTTTTTTTTTTTTTAGTTAGCAGCACATGTGGTAACTTACTGAGACAACTTGAACTACTGAGCATGTAATATTTTAACCAGTGTGTTCCTCAATGAAGGTTGGCTGTCATGTAATCATCAGTATATATATCTCCGACACTCTTTGTCCTGTTGTACACAGTGCTGTTGCCCATCTCATGGTGATATCTTCCTACCAGCTACTTGTGTGTATTGAACACAGATTAGTATATTGTTGCATTATAATTAATAATTGTTGTGTTGTCTATCTATAACTATAATCTATAGTCTACAACCTCCCAACTACTCTGTTGCGTTGCTTTTACCCTCTAGTTTGAGTTTGGCTTTTATAGAAATGTTATGTCAGAAATATTTCTTAGTCCAGTAATCACAGGTCTATGCCTTTTTTCCCCCGCCACTCAGCCCACTGCAGTAGCGTAGCTCCTTTCAGTTTTCATTGACTTTGACAACATTGAATCATTTCTAGATTTGGGACCGTTATTTGGAGAATAGCTGATATGCAACTAACTCAACGATGTTACACTAGAACAGTTGCTTCTGGCATATGGTTATAATATAATGATAATATGAATCCCGGAATATGAATGAACAAATTATTAATTAAGATAAAACAGGGCCTGTGTGGTTTCTATATGGCTGTTCGCATGCTGTACATAATACTGTGGTCAGAGCGACTAACAACTACCTGGAAGTGGCTAATGAAAGGAGAAAAGAAAACTATATACATGTATAACTTGCTGTAAGAAAGAAGCAGACAGTATACTTCGGTTAAGTGATGAGAAGAGAGGCATTGGGAAATACTAATTAGAAAGATCAGCGGCAGGAGAAGCAGACCAAGAGAGATGATACTTGACAGTCCGGAGGAATGGCTTGGTGGAATGTCATCAGTAGAGAATAGATTCAAAATACGAAGGGCCAAGATCTGTGGAGAAACATGAATATATATGCCGCTGGGCATGGCACATGATAATGATGAAAATGATACTTTGGAAACATGAAATGGATACTTTTAGAGATTACACAAAATAAATCTTGTTATATTTTTTGGAACTTATAATTATTTGTCACAATTATTGCTGAAATTAAAATTTACGAAGATCTGTACAATGTGGTTCTTGGGGACAATTGCCTAGCGTATCGGAGGGGTATGATGATGATGGGATGTTTGTATATAGATACTAGGTCCAGCTATTTTATAACTTGGAATAACCTGCGGCCGCTTTTGTAGAATATCAAGTCTGCATGAGCACATGTTAAACAGCAGTTGCGGAGAATTATGGTTGATATTCAGTGCAGAAGTGTGAACATAATATATTACAACCTGTTTCTGTCTTTGTTTAATGCATGTTCAAATCTGTTAATGTTGTGTTTTTATTTTTCAGTTGGCAAAAATAATAGTAAGATGAGTTTTCGAGGTGGAGGACGTGGTGGAAGAGGAGGCGGCGGCAGAGGAGGAGGTGAGTTTCTCTGAAAAAAATGTGTGTGATACAAGTCGTCAAGTGTGTAGTTCCGTCAAATTTTATATATTGAGATTTTACAACAGCTGGATAGAGGCTGTGTGGGTTAGAAATAAGGTAGACACTTTTTTAATCTCACTTTTGGGAAGGATAACCCAGATAATAAATTCGTCTCAGATCAGACCAACAAGTGGGTTGTCTCTATAAACTCGCTTGTCCGCTGCAGGTTCTTCATAGTTCCCCATAGCTTGCCCTGCACACTTTGCTCATGAGGCCAGGTTTCTTTTCGAAGTTGCAGGAAGCGTGATCAGGTCTGCAGAATGTGTTTAGGTGTTTGTAGTCCTGTCTGACAGGCACACTGTGGGGACTGTACAGTCCCTTTTTTTAACGCATGTGGTAGTTGAGACTGCAGTATCCTGTTTGTAGACGGAAAGTCGTTGTCTGTTGCTTTCTGTTGAGTCTGCTGATGGGGTCTTGTTGATGTTTACCGTTGGTTTGTTCTCTCCCCAATTCCTTATTTTCCCTTGAGTATTTTGATTTCTAGTAAAGACAATGAATTGGTGTGTTGTTTCTCCTTTGTTCCACTTATTGCAAGTCTGTCTACTGACTCATTTCATGTGTTTATCTGACGGGTCAGTTCTCTCTCCATGTTGTCCTGTGGACCCCTCTGAGTTGCTTCGAGGACTGACATGCAGTCACAAAGGAAAATAGTTTTGCTGTTTGTAATTTATGTTTACTCCTTCAGGCATTCGGGGTCCATTTAATTAGCAATGGAGATTTGCTATGTGCCAGAGCCATGTCTTACAGCAGGTAGCACCAAATGTTAGTACGGTTGACTTGATTGACAGAGGCTGTGAGTTACGTGCAGGCATTTCCCTTTTTTTGTCAGGTGGGACCTGTACATACCAATTCTTGCTACCCAGATAGTAAATAACAGAAGATGGATGTGTCAGTTGAACAGACAAATATAGGGTAGCCAGCCTCATGACAGTTTTCATTCATTGTCTCTTGTGATAGTATGGTAGGTCGTGATATTACTGTTCTTTTCTGCTTATTTTGGCATTACATGGCAGTGGAATATGTTCATACCTGATAATCATAGTTATTCTGAATATTAGGTTTTAGGGGCGGCAGAGGTGGTGGTGGTGGTAGAGGAGGCGGCTTTGGGAACCGATGGCAGGATCAAGGACCCCCAGAGGAAGTGATGGGTAAGCAGACGTTCTTAATCTTCTTCCAGAGTTTAATCTCACGACTGACAAAATTGGATATCAGTATTATATTAGTATTGTTCCATAAGTTAAAGCCAGTTGGTCTGCTGTTATGATGTAATACTACTCAGCTGCCATGGATAGTCTATGACTTGTTTAAAACCTTTTTGCTTCATGAATATGCTAACGGCAGAGGTTCAGGAACCTGGTAGAGGCGGCGGCCTTCGGAAATTCCCAGGAAAACTCATTAAAGTTTTTTTTTTTTATTTTTTTCCAGAGTTTAAAAATATATAGGAACCTGTCGGAATTCCCAGGAAAACTCATTAAAATTTTATTTTTTATTTTTTCCTTTGAAATATATAAATGGAATGGTTGGTCAGTAAACAGGGTAAAGCGTTAAATAGAGTACATTACCTGAGGCATACAAAAAACACAGTATCTATTGAGCGACTCCTGCCAGGACATAGTGACATCTATCTGACAGACATGCCCCATGACATCTATCTGACAGACATGCCCCATGACATCTATCTGACAGACATGTACCATGACATCTATCTGACAGACATGCCCCATGACATCTATCTGACAGACATGTACCATGACATCTATCTGACAGACATGTACCATGACATCTATCTGACAGACATGTACCCTGACATCTATCTGACAGACATGCCCCATGACATCTATCTGACAGACATGCCCCATGACATCTATCTGACAGACATGCCCCATGACATCTATCTGACAGACATGCCCCATGACATCTATCTGACAGACATGCCCCATGACATCTATCTGACAGACATGCCCCACCGTACTGGACCTTTATTAAGCAGAAGAATTTTTATAGGTTTCACCCCTTCGAAAATCAAAAAATGGAAAACAAAATTCTGCGGCCCTTCGGTGGTGTTTGAATGCGGATGGCCGTCTTTAAGCTGTGATTGTGATGTTGACATTGTATTCTTGACATCCTTAACAATATTGACAGTTTACAGAACAGTGGTATTGTTATTGTAAACACTATTACTTTTAAAGTTTTGGAGCCAGCTCGTATAAAGTGGATAATATATGTATAAAAAGAACATGTTTGTTTCAGAAATTGGCTTCATGACACACACTTGTGAAGAAGATTTGGTCTGCAAGAGTGTCAGTGACAAGATTCCATACTTTAATGCTCCCATCTACCTGCAAAACAAACAACAGATTGGAAAAGTTGATGAAATATTTGGCCCCATTAAGGACTTTGTATCCTTTACAATGTTGATTTTTTTCATGATTTTTTGTGTAATGTTACTTTTGTTAAGTTGAATTTCTTTTGGTGACAAAAAATTATTATGAGATTGCAACCCAGATCACACAGCTTATCAACCCTAAATTAGGATCTGGCCTTTGGTCGAGGTCACTTCATTTCTGGTCCCGTGGAAATCCCACAAATGCCATAACAACCCCATTTGAACACTCGTGAACAAATTTTTTTATTATGTGCAAAAACTTAAAGCTCGTGCATGCGAAGTAGAATGCACACAGAAGCAGTCTGACTTGGCAGCATATAACACACACGAATTGAAGCTCGTCCTTGGTGCAGTCAGTCATTTGTGAAAACCAGCATTGCAAACACAATCCTGCACAAGCATACATCATTTTAAACATCATTATCAGCCTCCTGTCATTTTCAGTGCAGTTCACAAAACAAAGTTGTTGTGGACACAAACCATTCCACACGAAACCCACAGCACAGTGTCGCACCAAGCAGTCAACTCACCAACTGGTTGATGGAACCTTTTGACTTCCTGTCCATAAATGTAGAATTTGAATTAGCAAACCGTGTTTAGAAACAAAACTGTTCAGAGCATTAGCTTTACATCCCAGGAAATGTTCAGTGACTGGCATAAAAAAGGCCTTCTACACAGAACTAGTGTCTTTGAATCAACACAGAACTAGTGTCTTTGAATCAACACAGAACTAGTGTCTTTGAATCAACACAGAACTAGTGTCTTTGAATCAACACAGAACTAGTGTCTTTGAATCAACACAGAACTAGTGTCTTTGAATCAACACAGAACTAGTGTCTTTGAATCAACACAGAACTAGTGTCTTTGAATCAACACAGAACTAGTGTCTTTTAAATCAACACAGAACTTGTGTCTTTTAAATCAACACAGAACTTGTGTCGTTGAATCACCACAGAACTTGTGTCTTTTAAATCAACACAGAACTAGTGTCTTTTAAATCAACACAGAACTAGTGTCTTTTAAATCAACACAGAACTTGTGTCTTTGAATCAACACAGAACTAGTGTCTTTAAATCAACACAGAACTAGTGTCTTTTAAATCAACACAGAACTAGTGTCTTTAAATCAACACAGAACTAGTGTCTTTTAAATCAACACAGAACTAGTGTCTTTTAAATCAACACAGAACTAGTGTCTTTTAAATCAACACAGAACTTGTGTCTTTTAAATCAACACAGAACTTGTGTCGTTGAATCACCACAGAACTTGTGTCTTTTAAATCAACACAGAACTAGTGTCATCAGCCACTAAATGATGTGGAATCTGCTGTTGATGAGGTTCTGGGCTCTAATGGACTGAATAGTTTATGTGCAGTATGGGTGACGGTCAGCTCATTTTTGTGCCTTTCTTGTTACTGTAGAGTCACAGAAAGAGCAGTTAAAATAATTGAACTGAGATTATAGTGAATTTGTGTGACAATAGCAAAATGAAACTATTCAAATTCTCTTTCTTTGACCACTTTCAGCTAGGTCCGTTCACATTTCTGCTCACTTTCCTTTCAGCTATATTTGTGGTGACGTTTTCTGGTCGCGATCTTATTTGATTCTGGATTGTGTTCAATATTGTCACTTTCTGTTTGTTGTGGTTTCCGCTCTTGCTGTTGTTTTTTGTAATCTGGCTGGCCCTGTGCTGCGCTCAAGATGATTGGATGTTGGATTGATTTATTGTGGTTTTCCTTGGCTGTTTGTTGTTTCCGGGGAAAGTAGATTGCCTATCCTAATAAGGACCGGCGGTCGATTGACTTGGGCAGGTACTGATGGCTATACTGCTGAGGTCTGGTATTATTTGGTGATTTTCTCGTATCCTTGTTGTAAAATACTGCTCCTACATAGGGTTTCGGTAATTTGGCCTTGGTTTTGTCGTATCTGGTATTAGTGTTTGGGGTAACGGTGTCGACCTCGTTTGACTTCAAATTTTGGCTGTCGATGTGGTTCCTCTGGTGATGACCAAAAAACATCATCATCCTGCAGTTCTGAGTTATAGAAGTTCGGGTCCTCCATCTCCATGATGCGTTCGTTAATTTGGTCAACTGTTGCCAACGGAAACTGTTTCATCAGCAATGCTTGAGTTTTCTTATCTGGTGTTTGATGCGGCTTTTTCTGGGTCTCGGCTCCCTGTATTTGCTGCCTTCTTGTTGCCTCTTTCCGTGCTTTCTCTCTTTCTTCCATCACTCTGTTGGTTGCTTGCAGTTCCTTGTTAAGTCTGTTGTTTTCTTCGTATGCTCTTCGTAACTTTTCCTCTGTTTCAGCCAGTGCCTTCTTGATCATTGCGACTTCTTTCGCGAGAAGTTGTTGGTTATCCCGCAGATTTTTGATTACCGCCTCGTCTTCCCTTGCCTTAGTTGGTTGTTCCTTTTGTGTCTGGATAGTGGCCAGTGCATTCATGATGTCCTCCTTGAATTTCGTCATCTCTGCTGTCATCCGTTTCTGGGTGTCAAGAGTCGCCTGCATTTTACAGGCCTGAGAGCTATAATGAAACTATTTCCAGGCCTGCCTTTTAACTATAGTGTAAGGTGTTAAGTAAGAAAAGGTATATTTACACACCAGTGGCGCATCGGGCATATGGTGTTGGACTATTTTTTTTTAGACTAATCAGCCATCGATGGGTGATGTCGTCAATATTGTGCTGGCTGCTTTTACTTTCTAGGACATTTCCTGGTATCCCGGTCATGTATGAGAAGAATTATTCCATGAGATTTGAACCACGACCTTTGGATCCGCAGATAAGAGCATCCAGGCGGTGCCCTGTAAGATCTTAATCAGATCTGATCTGCTAGCTGTGTTATGAGCAGCAAAATTCTGCAAATTGCTATGGCTGCATTCCATATGTAGGCTTGAGTAAAATAGCTGATAATTTGTTGGTTTCTTAACAACTGTTCAGTACTTCTCTGTCAAGTTATCAGACAACATGAAGGCAACATCGTTTGACAAATTAGCCAAGGTAAGGATTTTCTTTGTAGCAAGATCTAATCGTTGTGATATACAAGCAGACTTATAAACATTGACTAGAAAGAGAGTGCCAATCATAAAGGCGTGGAAAAGCTGCGGCACCTTATCTCAGGGGCTTGTCACGCTTAAGGAGAATGATTTTAGTTTTTTCTGGGCTAGGAATTATCGAAATTTTTGCTTATTTGTGGCTTATTGATTAGTGGTTTGCACATTTGTCAGCCAACATGCTGTTTAACCATCTGAGATCAAAGGTTCTTCACTTTCTCTTTTTCTGCTCCAGCTGTTGAGAGAGATAAATGTTCTTTTTTCTTGCTGTTTTGACCATAGGCCCGTCATCTGTTGTGTCTTGTTCTTGGTTTAGAAGGTGTAGCGTAAGACAGAATATTTGTTAAATTTATGCAAAAAGAAATAATATTAGCATCACTTTTGACAGGGGAGGTTCATCTGATTCAACACTCCCCTTGTAGGCTTCGAGGCCCTGTTGGGGGGAAAGCAAGAATAGACCCTCTGCCTCCCCACCAAGCATGTTGTAAGAGTCGACTGATTGGTGGAATCCTTTGAGGTCAATCTGCCCGAGAGCCAAAGAACCAAGAGTCTGCATACAGATAAGCCAGATATGTGAAACATATGCATGTAACTCTAAGGTTCTGGAGACTAAAGTACATAAGAGGACGAACACACAGAGTTTATAGTCGGTGAACAAGAAATGTAACAGTCTGTTGTATGTTTACACAGCAGTGGCGCATCAGGCATATGAGGTTAGGACTCATTTGTATAGACCAATCAACCCATGATGGGTGTGATGTGGCCAGCATCATGCTGGCTGCTTTTACTTTCCAGGACATTTTCTGGCACCCCTATGTGATTGAACCATGACCTTCGGATCCACAGCTGAGCATCCAGATGCTACATCATGACAGCGCCCTCCTGGGTCTTAATTAGATCTGATTTGCTGGCTGCGTTGTAAGCAGCAAAACTGGATGGTTGACCCTTGCCATGGTTGCATTCCATAGGTAGGCCTGAGAAAAACATTTCATAGGAGTCGACACATTGGTGATATGCTTCGAGGTCAGAGTACATTTACCTCAGAGGCAAGGAACCAAGAGTTTGCATACATATAAGCCAGGTATGTAAAACATGTGTATGTAACGCTTAAGTTCTCGAGATCCATAAATGGACAACCAGATTTTTTAGCCGGCGAACACGAAGAAGAAATTCAACACTGCTGTAGGCCAACCTTCTTAAGACGATTTGTCTACTTTGTTTTGGTTACTGAACATTTCTTGTTTTCCATACCTTCCTCAGTTTTACATTGATCCAGCCAAATTGTTGCCACTTGCAAGGTTCCTGCCAGGGCCACGGGGAGCAGGCAAAAGAGGTGGCAGAGGAGGTAAGTATTATGATTCTCACCGCATATGTCTGTTTCTTCATATCTTTGTCTTTTCTTTAGTCCGACTCTCTCCTTCAGTGTCAGAGATTTTGCAGAGCGATCTGGTGCAACCCTTTACATGCGCTACTTGGAAACTGGTATTTATGGCCTCAGTTTTTTTTTTTACATGTCCATCTCTTGCTTGAGGGGTCACTGTGGTGGACAAGCTTGTCTTAGTGTTGAACTGACCAGCTTAAATCTTGTCTGTAGTCCCTTGACACTTTAAGATACTGGATTATTGGTGGCTCATCAGGCTTTTTCATTTCTGGTCTTTGTATGTGCTGGACTTGATTTTTGTGTGTGTGGCACATCTAATCTCCAGATCTTAATTGGCCTACCTTATCTCGTCTTCCCTTGAAATAAGATCTGGAGTATGGTTTTGGAAAGGACAGCATGGTCACATAATTGCATTTTGCATCTTTATGTGTTGAGTATTGTTTTGTGAACCCTAATTTTGGGATATATATTTCTAGTGTACAAAAGATCTAATTTCACTAATGAAACTAGCAGGAGAAATCTGAGACATGACAGGTGGCCTGGGCAATCATGAACTGTAGTACAGAGTGAGGTGATTTTGGTGACCTCTTGCAGATTCTTAACTTTTGTTGTTTCCTTTACCTCCATATTAGAAATCTCACACAAGATTGCCATATTCTTTTTCATCACATGCAGTTCACCTTGTGTCATTCACATCTATCTTATTTATCTCTAATTGTCTACCCCATGTTAACTTCTTTCCACCTGAGGACATCATGTGTGTGTGTTTCGGGGGTGGGGGGGCTTAACCAGGCTAGCGTTGTAAAAAAGTAACTAATTAGGGACTTGTTGAAATTGGATGTGTTGGGCTGAAGAGCACAGATATCAGTCAGCACAAAATGCCAACCATAACCTGTTTCAGGGCTGATGAAGGTGGACAATCTAGTTGTAAGATCTCTAAGATCAAGAATTCTGTAGTGTTTAAACTACAGATCAGACCCAGTGCTATTCAACTGGTGGCACATGGAACATTGTCAGCTGTAGTATAATAGTGATTTTTCTGTGCTTGGGCTCAGGTTTCTGGTCCATTGGTGATTCCCATTTTAAAAATTGTGGCTCTTGAATAAACTTACTTGATTAGCCCTGGATTAGACCAACAAGGCTGAGTTTGCTGCGCAAGCACACACAGACACCTTCCCTCCCTCTTCTCCCCCCCCCCCCCCCCCCTCCCCCATATATTGTAGTAACTTAGATAATTTGTGAATCAATTTCATGGGTTAGGAGGACAATCCAGGGTCTGTTGCAGCAATGAAAAATTTTAGTTTATATCAGTTATATAACTAGTAGAGAAGAAAACAGAAGAAAATGATATCTGATTCTAAGTTCAATTTGTTGTATTCTCCTACACAGGTGGTGACAGAGGCCGAGGTAGAGGAGGGTTTGACCGGGGCCGAGGAGGTTTCAGCAGAGGTGGACGAGGTGGATTTGACAGGGGCCGAGGGGGGCGAGGTGGTTTTGATAGGGGTAGGGGAGGTGGTGGTTTCAGGGGGAACAGGGGCGGAGGATTTCGAGGCAGGGGAGGGTTTTAGTTTCAGTGAAAGAAAGAAGTCCTCATCACATCTTGAGAATGTTTGCATCATGTACATAATAAACATGGAGAAAAATGACCTTGAGAACTCTGGTGTTGATGTGGTGTGGTGTTGCTGTACTTGTGCCTGATGTTTTTAAACCATTAAATACTAAAAACAATAATTTGTCGCCACTGACCTCTTTATTCGAGAAACTTGTTTTGTGTTTTCATGTTTTTTTTTCTTGTCCTTTTGTACTGTTTGTTTCTGCTCGCTTTCCCCCTTTTTGTCTGCCTCCTGTGACGGAACCAGGTGTCAGATGTGTTTATTTAATAATTAGAGAGTTAAAAGGTCCTGTATCTTCTATTGAAGCCAAAGGAGTTAACTCTCTAAGTTGCTCTCTTGACCTCTGCATCCCCAAAAGCCCTGTTTTTGAACTTAGTTGAACTCTTAGCTGCTATCAGGCGATAAACTTTCATTACATGCGTGTTATCTCTAATGTTTTTTAAACTAAGTTGATGACACATGCTAGCTGTCAATGTTTGAAACTAAATGACCAGTTTTAATTGCAAGTGGCTGAGAAGGGTTAATAGTGCTGGACTGAGGAGCGATAGGAATGCACTAACTTGTCTGACAGCAGTGAATGATGAAAATGTGAATGACAATTTCATCTGGCTCATTAAAACATGGAAAACACGGTGTTACTCACCTGATGACTGGAAAGATAAATGACTGAAAAGGTCTGACATGGTAGGATGATGGCTAACTGCTACACTCTTGTCTTTCAGTGGTGAAGCATCAGTATGAATGGTTGCTAAGATAGAGATACAGACCGTGGCACCCCAAAAAAAAACCACAGACCACAAATATGACAGAGACTGTTGGCAGCTTTGCGGCTGGTGCCTGAACAGCAGGTTGAACATGGTTGCGTTTTTCCTTTCCTGAAAAGATACAGACCGGCAGAGGTACAAAACTGGGGACACGCCTTAGGTACCATGTGATATCTTGCCTGTTAACCAACATCCCAAAAACTGGTTGTGATTATGTCATCTCTTATCTGCCTCATTTACATTCATGATGCATCGATAGAAATCAGCTCATAATTGTTGCTGTTTTGATAGATGAAAACGTAGCTGCTTTGCAACTGCTGGATATTGTGGGGACGGAGAGTGCCAAGAAAGGACTTGAATAATACGAAAACGGAAGAAATGGTTACATCTCAATTAAAAGGGTTACATCTCAAAAGAAAAAGGCTCACCTAAGTCAATAAATTCAATTATCTATGGACAGTCATATCATTATCATCAGATGCCTTGCCGACTGGCGTTGGCAATCATGCCTCTCCACGATCTACAATCTCCTGCAGCATGTATCAGTTTGTGTTCGGACACACCTCCATGCATGCATTAAGACTGTCAAGAATCTTCTATCCTTGTCTTTCTTTGTGTAAAGATCCACAGATCTTTTCAATGCTCACATCATGTTCCATTTTCCCTGAAAAATTATGGCTGTCTCCTTCTGATGTCTGCCTTATTCTGTTTCTCATCTTAGTAATGCATTTTCCATCTGATGTTATCCATGTGCCCAGATACTTAAATTTCTGTACTTGTTCTAAAATAATACCATCGACTTTTATTACACATTTAGGAATAATTATTTTCTTAGATACCACCATGATACCTTTGATACCACCATGTCTTCCCATTATTCAAACTGAGGCCCATTCTTCCACTTTCTACCACCACAATGTCTATCATTTCCTGTAGTTCTTTCTGACTTGTTGCTAACAAGACTGTGTCATCAGTATAACGTAAATTGTTTATATTGTGCCCACCAACCACAATTCTGGGCATATCAATTAAAGATCTCATCACTGCATAATGAAAATAAATCTGGTGACAAGACGGTACACATCTTTGTCGTACTCCCCTCTTTTGCTTTGAAATGTACTTAAACAGTTGTTAATTCTTACAGCTGCTGTTTGCTGCCAATACATATTCTTTATTATTCGTAGATCTTTTCCATCAATGTTTAATTTTTCGAACAGTTGAAATTTTTGTAAAGTCTATGAAGTGTAAGTACAAATCAGTCTTTACTTCTATAGCTCTTTCTGACAATGTCCTTAGGATGTATATGGCATTGTTTGTATCCTTTTCTTCTACAAATCTTCATTGTTCATCACTGATTTCTGGTTTAATTTTCTTTCTTATTCTTCTAAAAAATATTCTGGGTATAATCTTAGTCATGTGACTTATTGTGAGATACATTTTAAGGGGCCTGGTTTCTTTGGCAGAGCTATTAATATGGATTTTAAAAGGTCATTTGGAATATACCCACTATTATAAATAATTAAAAGTTGAGTTATTTCGGTTTCTTCCAGTGAGATGTTGTCTGGCCCGGGTGCTTTTGCTTTCTTTATATGATGACATCCTCAACTTCTGCAATCATTATTGGTGGACCATCATTATTGGTGGACCATCATTGTTGGTGGACCATCATTGTTGGTGGACCATCATTATTGGTGGACCATCATTGTTGGTCTGCAGTTTTATTAGTTATCTATATATATAAAAAACAATGTTTGTGTGTTTGTTTGGTCTCTATAGACTCGGAAACTACTGAGCTGAAATTTTCAGGATATGTTTGTTGTGATACCGGATTTTGAACCGTCGTGGTTTGAAATTCAACCTGTCACTGTTAGAGATAGGTGACCACAATTTATGCCAAAATATATATATAAATATATATTTATAACTTTAGTGATTTCTAATTATAGCCACGTTAGTAATTGCGCATGCGCCGCCGTAGTCAGAACGCAAGGCTTCCGCCATTCGCCGGCAAGTTACGTGCAGCCAACGCCTTAATACATAGAGTAGGTCGAGGTACCGCAAACAAGACTATCTCTATATTTGCCACAATAACCATATTAAACACGATTTCTATTTTCTGGTTTTTTTTTTTCAAACAACCTTTGATTGGGGGGGGGGGGGGCAATCAAGGACTATCTCGACGTCGGCGCAGACATTGACTGCGTCATTAACTTCATTAGACAGGTGCGATTTCCATTGTCTTTCTTTTCTAAAAACCTTTGATGAGGGAGAGGGTAGTAGGTGGATTTAGTTGTGGTGGGGGGGGGGGGGGGGAATCAAAGACTATCTCAAATTACGCCACAGCAACGCGTGGCCGGGTGCAGCTAGTTATCATCATACAATTCCTTTATATACTCTGTTCATCTGTTAATTATATTACTCTTTCTCATTATCAGTCACCACTATTTTGATTTTAAACATCCAGTGCTGTTATGTGTCATATTTTCATTTTCCGTTAACATTTATCTGTTGGTACATGGAATGTGTCTTTCCCATGACACACACACCACCACCCCCCTCCCCCCCCCTCCCCCCTGTACACATTTGATTCAGCCAGGCTTCTTTAGCCACAAAATATGAGTAAATAATTATGTGCTGATTTAAATACTCTATCCATCGCATTTCACTAATTCTTAATGTGTTGGTGTTCATTCTCCTCATTTCCATCTTGATGTTATCCAACTTTCTGTTTTGTTCTAACATTCTATATACCAATGTTCAGTATGTTTCTACCATTTAATTTTTCTACATTTGCCGGGTGACGGTCGGGTATCACCCGTAGAACATGATGCTCCCTACCGGACAAGGCGATTTCACTCGAATCCCCATTCAAGTCGTTATCTGAATTCGTTATGTTTCGAGACATGATTTTCTAGGAATAATACAGCGGTGATTTCCACTTGCCTTCCGTCAATTTGTATATGGTTTGACTCCACTAGCCTTTGTCTAAAGAGACTTACCCTGCAAGGCAGCAGGGGGGAGAGGTTATGGTACCCGCTGATGGCCATATCGTAGAGTGTTGAGGTATTTTGGTGGACGCGCCTAGTAGTAGGACAGGCTCCTACCCCAGGACAATCACATCTACAGATGAACAATTTGTGACATATTAAAAGCAGAATAAGTCAAGCGAAGGCAGTATTTCAGAAAATGAAAAATATCTCATGCAATAAGTCGCTCTCGTTCAGTCTCAGAGAGTGCTAAAATGTTATACTGAACCTGTTCTGATGTATGTCAGTGAATCTTGGAATGTCAGTGGACAAATTAAGAAGAATTTGGAAGCAAAAGAAATGTGGTTTCTGAGACGAATGTTACGAATACCTTGGACGGCCAGAATAACTAACAACGATTATTTGAAAGAAGCTAGTGAAAGTAGATCTCTATAAACAACAATAAGAAGGAGGCAAACACTGTTCTTTAGCTACATGATGACAAGAGAAGCATTAAAAATATCGTGAAAACAGAAAAGATCAGTGGTAACAGGTAGAAGCAGACCAAGAGAGACGATGCTGGATGCGCTGAAAGATGGCATAAAGGGATATCATCAAGAAAACTTCCAGAGATCGTGATCTGTGGAGATGCATAAGCGCCTACCCAACTTGCAAGGCACATGGTGATGATGATGACTGGTGCCTGATACTGTAGTTTGGTTGTTTTACTGTTTGTGTCTAGTTTGTTTCTGTCTCCCACTCTCTGTCTGCCTCTGACCACCTCTCTCTGTGTGTGGCTTGTGTATGTTTGGAAGTTATTCCTATGTACTTACAGCTCCTATCCCTCTGTCATGTGTCCCTTTATTTCTTTCTGACCTGTGCCACTTGAAGGTCATGAGAAACCAATAAACAAACATCGAAGGAAGCTCCCAATTAGTCGGCGCTTACGACATGCTTGTGGGTAGGCAGTGGGTCTATTCTTGTTTTCCATGTAATAGGGAGCTGCCTCCTTGCGGTCTCCATGCAGGCTGTCTGGCTCGTTCACGGTTACAAACTACTTCCGGGTCAGCCAGACCCTCCTCCTTTTACAGCCGTGCTGCCCTTAATAAACCATTGACATACTTTCAGCATAATTATCATCAACCACTTCTGCTGTTGAGCTTTCATCCAGTGCATGTTGGTTGGCACTGGCTATTATGCAGTAAAGGTGTCAGTGTCTTTAATG